AAAATATAGAAAAAAGAATAATATAAAGCTATATAATTTTCTTTTTCATAATCTTCAATTGCTTTATTAAATAGTAGTTTATTTGACTCTTCAGCAATTTTTTTGTTTTTAGTCATAATTTGGTATGCCACTTGATTAAAAATACTTTTAAATTTATATTTTCTTTTGTACTATACACAATTAATTAAAATTTCATGTAAATTTCAAATTTATGAAAATTTTCACAATTATAATTTCATAAAAAGTTTGCTTTTATATTAAAATATTAAAATCAATTCAGGAACATCTTATTATTTAATTCAGTTACAAAATCTTTAAAAATTATGATGATGATGAAAGTGCTTTTAATGATAACTAAATGAATGATAAATTAAATATTCTTTATAATTGTACAAATATTGAAAAATGGGTAAGAATAGCATTGTACAATGCTATTAACTATTATTAGCAAGTATCATCAGAAGAAGAAATATTGACTGCATTACTAGATCCATGATGCAAATCATTAAATTTTGCTTCAGAATCTCTAAAGTCTAGAACTTATAATTCATTATATGAAGTATATAGACAACACCAAAATCAAATAGATATATCATCTATTAAGCAACTATTATAGCCTACAAGCAAATTATTAGCTACTATGTTTCGATTAAATAATACACATACAGATGAAATTTCTGACTATATTGGAATGCTAGAAATTTCTTATGACCAATGTTCATTTGAGTGGTAGAAAAGTAATTAGGATCATTTTCTAGTTCTAGTTTATTTAACACAAAAATATCTAGCTATTTTAGCTACTTTAACACCCAGTGAGAGGAGGCTATTTAGCAAAGCTGGAAATATTATATCTATTAAAAGAGCAAATCTTTTACCTATTACACTTAAGCATTTAATTTTTTAAATAAAAATCGTCATGCCATTGATGATTTTTTTCAAGTATGAATAAAAAATTTTAAGTTATAATAAGAAATTTTTTTTCTAATTATATATATTAATAAAAAATCTGTTTTAGAGCAAAATTGTATAAAAATGAATAAGAGTAAATTTTTTTAGATAAGAATACTTCATTTTTAATACGTATTGTAAAGTTTATTTTTTTAAAGCCTTTTCTTTTTTATTTCTTTTAAATTATAAAATATTTGCGAATTGACTTAAATAATATATATAATTATTACTTTATATTAAAATTAAATTTAATCAATTCTAAGTCGATACTAGTTGTAATTGAACTCTAAATAAATCTGAATAGTAAGATTTATTTAATTTATTAATTTAAATTAATTGAATTAATGAATAATAAATTTTTTATTAATTTAAAGATCTTTTTTTTTTTGAACAAATCTTGGTCAAATATAAACTTTAAGAAATTTTATAAACAATATATATCGAATAAGTCAGGTGTTCTTGAATCACATACAATTGAAATATATAATTGAAATTCTTACTTGTAAGCAAATTTGCGAATTAGATACTATATAGAAAAATTATATGTATGCAATTATGTATTATATATATATAATGTAGTTACATAAATTATAGCACTTTGCAATAAAATAAAACTTCAAATTATCTGTTAATTCTATTTTCAACATATATATATTTATTTATTTAAACTAGTAAACTATAACCCACTATTACATGGTTGTGATCTGCAAAGTTACTTCTATAAAGAGGTTATATCTGAATATAACCATTATTCTTTTACTCTAATAGGGTATAAAACCAGATATTAGATTTTATTAAAGGATATAACCTTTCAGATAAAGAGTTATCCAGGTATGAACACTAGGATTATAAAAACCAATTAATTAACCTTGTATAGCCAAAGAGCTAAAATTTTAATAAATTTTGATAAATTTTGATACTAAAATTAAAAATTAATAAAAATATAAAATTAAATAAAAATTAATTAAATTTAATCAAAAAAATTTAAAAATTAAAAATTAATTGAATTTAATTAAAAATTAATAAAAATATAAAGGTAAATTCTAATTAAAAATTAATTAAATTTAATTAATAATTTTTTAATTATTGCAACAAAAATTAAATAAAAGCTAAAAATTTTTTTATTTTTATTTTTTGTTAATATCATATATAGAAAAACAAATAACTTTTACAAAGTATCGCATAAATACAATAATAGTTAAACAGGTAGATTTTCTATAAGTACCAATATTTGATATGATATTATACCTCTAATTTTCTATTTTAAAGCTAATTTAAGCAAAAAAAACTACTATTAGCTAAAGAAAAGCTGGCAGAAAACCTTAAAAAGAGGTAAAGTAATAAAATAGTAATATGGTTAATTGAAGCATGAATAAAGTGTAAAGTTTTGAAAAAGTAATTTATAAACATATTGATCAATATTGTAGTTAAAAGTAGTAGTAGTAATATGATATATAGTTGATTTAGGAAAGTATGTTTTTGTATGTTTTGATTTGAAGATTATGTTTCTTGCAAGTTCTCAAATATGTTGCATTTGATTTTTTGGAGTTCAGATTTTTGTTATGAACCAGTTGAGAAGGCTATTAGAGAGATTAGTAAAAAAGGTTTGTGTGTGTTTATATATAATAGATTGTATTTGGTTAAATATTTGTTGGTCGATTATTCTAGAGATAATTGTTAAGATTTGTAGGGGAATTACAGAGGTATTGTTGGTATTAATTAGAAGTTGTTGGACTTGTTGAGTTTGTAGAGGTTGAAGATTAGTAAAATTTAAATTATCTATAGTTTGGTTTATATAGTTTTTAAAGATATTAGATAGTTGCCATGGTGATTTATAACAGCTAATAATATGTAATATATTTTCGGGTTGATTGCATTGAGTACAATTAGGTGTTAGGTATAAGTGCAGATATCATATATTAAGGTTAAGCATTGTTGGAAGATTATCAAGTATAATTTTAATATGAAGTATATAGAATTTTGCATTATAATTTTGTGAATTAAGAATAGTAAAAAAGAGTTGAATATTAAAGATAGAATTGTTTTGTAGTTTTTTAAGTTGCAAAAAGTGATTTTTTAGAAACATTGAACATAATCAAATTTTATTATGTGAAGTAATTTAATTGTAATGTTATGAGAAATTTTAATTTACAAAGTATCATAGCTTTTTTAAATTGATAATGCTCAATTAAAATAATTTAAATTATAAAAACTTGAATGATTTAAGTTTATATCAAAATATTGTCACTTGAATTATATGGGCTGCTGTTAATAGAAATCAAGCAGATCTACATTTTTTATAAAATTGAGTTATATGATTCATTTAGTAGAAAAAGTTATAATAATTATTTTTTACTTATAAAATATAGCTAATAAATGTAATAAAATTTTATGTTAAATGCAATAAATTATTTTTGTTCATTTATGTCCATTTGTACAACTTTGGTAGATCAATTTTAGCTTAGAAATCAGATTATTTCGATTATGTCGATCATTAACTAATTGATGCCATCAATAGAAATCAAGCAGATTTTTATTAACAGCTATTTTTTTTATCAATAATTAGCTACGCAATGCAGTTATGTGAAACCCTTTTAATAACAAAGCAGCTGTTTCTTCTTTATCTTTTTCAATTTTAATCCTTTTTTCAAAGTAATGTTTGACTATATCATTTTCACTATTTTGATGAGGCTTAAATGCATTTTTTTCAACTTTATCACATTCATTATTTCTGGTGCTTTCATCAAAACCTTTAGGTTTATTTTTGATTTTCGTTATTTTATACTCAGATTATCTTGGCCACTCATAATAATATCACTATTTTTTTTGCTTTCAAATTGTCCCTTTTAGCATGCGCACCACTCCTTTGAAAAACATTATTGTATCCTTTAGCATTATTGTTCTTTATATAGTCAACTTCTTTTAAGTGCAATTTATAAGGACCAGACTTTTACAATTTGCGTTTAGAGAACAACTAAGAAAAATTACATTTATTGAGATCAAACATATACAACTTGGATTGGAATCTAAAGCTGCATTTAGAGAGAAGTTATACTGAAAGAGGTTGCACTTAAAGAGAGCTAACTGTATCTACAAACTTAAGAAATCATATGTTTTAAACTTTACTGCTCAGATTTGTATTCTTTTTCTTTTTTTTATAATAAATCTTCCAATATGATTTCTAGTTTCTGTTCCTTCATGATTCTTCTTTTCGTTATATCCTTAGGTTGTACTTGCAATAAACATCGAGTCAAATGCTCTGGAGATCAACATGCATACAAATGCTTTCATTATTATCAAACTTTTCATGACCATGACTACCATACCTATTATCTTTTATACCAATGATACTAATTGTTTCATGTTTTCTATTTTCTTTTTTCAAGTTTTAGGTAATGCTTATTTTTCTGTTTGTATGTTCTTTCTCAATTTTATAGTCACTAACAATGCCTTTTCTTTGACTTCAATATTAGCCAACAATAATTGCCACTGGGCTTTTTGAATTCAACAGCTTTCTATAAATAGACGTTTTCACAATATAATTCAACAAATAGAATTTTCACTTTACCTAGATTTATTGTTGTAGGATTAAACAGTAGTTGTATATGGTAAGTTTAACACAGCATCATTTTATAATACTAGCTGTACAGTACCTTTTAAAATTGACTTATACTATATTATTTTATCTAGATTCACATCAAAATATAGTCTGCTATTAACTATATACAAAAAATTATATAGAATTTGAATTCATTACCTCTGATTCAAGATTAATAAGTCAGTATGATGTTCTTGCAAGTTGTATTTACTAACGCATCTTCTGTTTCAAGTCTATTCCTAAAAGCTGAAGTAGCATATCATTCTTGCAAAGTTAATACTTTTTCTTCTTATCCAAGATTATTATTCAATTATTATTCCAGAGTTCTAAAGAGGTTAGTATAGTTCTTACAAAGTGCATTTGTCAATCTTTGATCAAAGTTATTACTGTAAACTGCCATATAAAAGACCTAGTCTAATTCATTTTACCAATTTTAAAACCTATTAATAGACTTATGGGTCTCTTGTATGAGTAAGGATCTGATAATTGAAAGGGTTAATGATAGTTGAGTTACTACTGATTGTTAGTACTTAATCTTATTTGTATACCCTGGGTCTTTTACATTTTACCAAAATTTTATTCTATGCTATAAACCCAAGTATAATATACAGGAGATCTGATGCCTGAGGGTCTTTTATACAGCAGTTTACAGTAAGTTGAAAAATTAAATCTTCAGGGTATTATTCTTGCAAAGTGCATTGGCTAATGTCTTTTTTTCTGATTTAAGATTATTTAATTGATTCACAGTATTCTTATCCAAGGTTATCTTTTCACTGATGCTTTCTTTTCTAATTCAAGATTATTTTTTAAATATAGATCATCCAAGATTCAAAAAAATTGGCGTGGTATTCTTGCAAAGTGTGTTTATTATGTTTCTTTTTTTAGCCCAAGGTAATTCTCTTTATGATCAAAAGATATTAGCATAGTGTTTTTATATAATAATATTTTTTTTCTTCTAAATCAAGGTTGTTTTTTAAATTTATATAGATGTCTAAGATTCAAAGAAATTTAGCTAAGTATTCTTGCAAAGTGCAATTGTTAATTTTTTCTTTTTCATCAAAGATTATTACAAAGATTCAAAAAAATCAGTGTAGTGTTCTTGAAAGTGCATTTTCTAATGTTTATCTTTTCTTATAATCCAAAGCTTATAATAATCAATTTTTAAAGTTAGAGCAATATTCTTACAAATTTCATCTGCTACTGCTTTGCTTTTTTCTGATCCAAGTTCACTACATTGAATATTTAAATAGTTCAAAATATTGTTTTCTGCAAAGTGAAATAGCTAATGCTTTTTTCTTTTTTTAATCCAAGATTATTGTTGTATTTGGATTGTGGATTGTTATACGATGTGAACTCACTATATAGACAAGAAATAAAGAATCTGGTATAGTATGAAATAGGAAAATTTATGCATACACATAATTGATAACTCAAAATAAATGATAGGGTAAGAACTATGAATAAACAGGTTATTAAACTTATTGTTATGCATAACATAGTAGGAATGCTGCAAAAGGAAAACCTGAATCTTTATCTAATAAGATTTTCAGGTTTCCCTTTGTGGCACTTATATATAAAAGTTTATAATGTACAAATATAGAAACAATAAAATAAAGAGTGCTGTATAAACTATTTCGCTTACTATTAGATTGTATTTTTATTGCATACTACTTCAGTACTTTATTAACTATGAATGAAAATATAAATAAAAATGTACTTTTTAATAGTATTTTTATTAATACATATTCTGAATTAACTACTTTAAATAATGAGTTTAATAAATTATATAAACATTATAATACAACTGAGGATAGTGATGAATTAATAAATAATGAAGAATTTTTTATTGAAAATCAAGTGAGTGATAATAGCACAATTGAATATGCTGATAGTTTTGAGTTGGATTTCTTTACACAGCAAGAAATTGCATTATTTCAGCAAATTTATCAAATCAATTTAATACAAAACTTTATGAAATATGAAAAAAAAAGTCAAATGTCTGAACAAGATGATCAAGTGTTTTTAACTAAAATTCAACAAATGGCTTGTTGTAATAAAAAATGCTTTAGTACTTTTATTAATCACAATGAAGCCCTTAAAAGATTTTGTAAGATTAGATTAATGTCAGCGATAGAAAAAAATATATTTTTTTTAGAAATTCTTGAAACTAGTATATAACAAGCAACTACTGACTATGAAGAATGTAAAAAGCTTACAACAAGTAATTATAAATTTCAAGGGGTTTCAGTTTGTCAGAAAGCTTGGCTTACTATCTATGCTATTGGAAAATCAAAATGGAAAGCAATTCGAACACATTATTCAAAAAATGATATAAGTCCTATAGTTCATAGTCTTAAAGAATGTGTTAGTAATTATGCTATTAAGTTTAAAACAATATTATATATACTAACATTTATTCGAAATTTTGCTATACAACATGGTCTTCCTTTATCTAGTAATACTTATAACCTGTTTAAAATTAATATACTAATGCTATATTAATAAATAATATATAATTAAAAACAGGTTGTTATTTTCATAAAAATACATGCCCTATTATATACTTACCAACACGTAAAAGTTATTATTCATTGTTTCATCTTTATAATAATACAGTTGATATTAATGATAAAAATAGTTATGTAGTTAGTCAATCAAGCTTTTGCTGAATTTGGAAATGTTATCTTCCAGAAATCAAGTTCTTAACCATGCATAGTGATCTTTGTATGTGATGTAAAGAAATGAGATTTAGCACTTAGCAATAGACTCAATCTGAAACATTAAATAAAATAAATGAATAGTCTAATCACTATTCTTGGGCTAGTTTGGAGTGAGAGTATTATCGGTAAATAATAATTTACTAATATAAATATACAGAGTATATGTACGTGCATAGATATTAATTTACAAATCCATATAATATATAATGATAAATTATAAACCTGATTTGAAGTTAAGATTAGCTTAAGGGTTAGAAGAGATTATAACTAATGCTAAAATTTTTATAAGGAATCTTTTTTGTTAGAACCCCTAAATAGGTTTTAGAATCAGAATTTTAAGATATCGATATATCTGTATTTCATATACTAGAATACAAATAGAAATTCTCTATTTTAAATTATATAATAATTTAAAACTAACCTTATTAAATGTTTGTAAAAAATGCATTGTTATATCTAAAGAAGAAATTAGAAAATTTGATAATAATTTACAATGACTTGGTACTCTGAATTCGCAAGTATAGAAAATCATATCTTATGGGATTTTGCTAAAAGTGTACATTTGCTATTTTCATCACAACAAGAGGAAAGTTTCTTTTATATATGTAATTAAAATTTTATCAAATTATACTAATTTATTATTTTAAATACAAGGAGCTATCTATTTTAAATTATTATTTAAGATTGGAGTTTTTGGTATATGTGAAGAAGCATTTCTATGACAAGTATTAAATTTTTATTATTAAATTTCAGTAAAATAAATTGTCAGATAAAAGATCCTTCGCAATAGTAGACTTCTTATATACTATACTTGGATATGAATTAAGTCAAATGAGTATCATCAAGAGAAAACCCATAAATCTTATTAGATAAGATTTGCAGATTTTTTTTGGCAACACTCAAATGTGGAGTTTTTTTAGATATTTAAACACCTGTTAGACATGTAAATATGCATACTCTTAAAAATTTTCTTTAAGTATACAAACTTTATGCTATTAACTATACACAGTATCTATTATAGGTTTTAATATTAATGGAATATAAGAGATCTGGGTCTTTATCTGGCTGTTTATAATATTTCATATTTCAATAAGATTGTATGATGAGTTTATCAACTTATAACCATAATCAGTAAACAAAATTTTACTGTATAGCTGATTGTTATTTTGCATTAATAGGTTTAGGAAATTCAATTCATAAAATGTCTAAAGAAATTCATAAACAATTTCATTAATATGTTATTAAAATATTTAATTTAAGATACAAAGAATATGAATTTGATGAATATCTTTTAGTATATTTTCTTCATCCAGGATATAAAGATAAATTATTTATTATATA